TGCTCATCCCAAACTCCCAGTCCTTCCCTGCACCCTGCCCTTGGCAACCACAAGTCTGCTCTCTATGCCTGTGAGTCTGTTTCTGTTTTGTAGGTATGTTCATTTGTGTCGTATTTTATTTTATTTTATTTTTTATTTTATTTTTTTTCCGGTACGCGGGCCTCTCACTGCTGTGGCCTTTCCTGTTGTGGAGCACAGGCTCCGGGCGCGCAGGCTCAGCGGCCATGGCTCACGGGCCCAGCCGCTCCGCGGCATGTGGGATCCTCCCGGACCGGGGCACGAACCCGTGTCCCCAGCATCGGCAGGCGGACTCTCAACCACTGCGCCACCAGGGAAGCCCATGTGTCGTGTTTCAGATTCCACATATAAGTGATATCATATGGTGTTTGTCTTCTATGAGAACACATCTTCCTTTCAGTGTTGAGAGCAAGCATGGATACCTGTGACTACTGCTTAACCTGCCATGGACAGTATGAATACGGTTTTACTGAAGAATAACAGAGCATCTCTATAGCGTACCTGGAAATGATGAGGACGCAGGCCATTTTGTATTGGACATAGTCCAGTTTTTAGTAAAAAAGAAAAAATTAGTCCTTCATTGTAAAGAGCTTTATGACAAAAAGAAGAAAAGGTAACCACTGATGAATGCAAGCCTGCACGTATGGAATCAGCTTTTTGGAGCTTCCCTCTCCACAGCACCTGCCTCCAGCCCCAGTGTGTCCCGTCCGCCTCGGCTGGTCCTGCACCCCTGCGCCTCCAGGTCCACGCTCGGCAAGGACTCCTCTCTGCATGAGGTCCTGGTTTCTACATTAGGTTATAAATGCACCTCTGAGGCCTGGGAGCACAACACAGGCCTTGGGCACAGGGTCCTCCCCAGGGTGGGGCGCTGGCGGGGCCTCGGCACGTGCCCCTGGGCTCCAGAGCACCACGCTGAGCCTGGGCCCAGTGGGGCTGCGTCACTCACAGCCTGCAGGGCAGCTGCGTCTCGCAGCTGCGCAGCCGGCTCTTTGCTGCTGCAGGGGAAGACAGCGCTTGTCGGGGGCCAGGCGAAGCGTTGGCCTGACCTGGTGACTGCCACCGATGGTGGGTTTGCCCCCATGTGAAGGCCACGTGTCCCAGACCGTGCTGGGGCCTGCAGCAGGTGAGACCCTCCGAGGAGGCCTGGCCCGGCAGGGCATCTTAGCCCCCCAGCCAGGGTTCTGGGGAGGAGGGCCGTCCAGCAGCGGCTGCCGCGTGGCCTCGACTCCAGCGCAAGGCGTGGACTATGTTGCGTGGAGGAGGACAGACAGAGGGAAGGGCTCCTGGCAGCTCCCGCAGAAGCTTCAGCTCGGGAGTCTCAGCTGCACCCAATGTAGGGGAGCAAGAGCCTTCCCTAAGCGAGCGGTCACCAGCCAAGGGCCGTCACGGCTCGAAACAGCTCCTGAGCCACCCTGCGGCCGATGTCACGGGCAGAGCTGACACTCAGTGGGCATCCAGCACCAGAGACACAGGGCTCAGTAGGGGAGAGATACGGGGTCTTGGATCTGTGGGCCGGGAGAGAAAGGTACTCCAGCCAGCCTGTTTACTGGGCCTGCCCTAGCAGATTTGCAAAGCTTGCAAGATGGAAGGCGGAAGGGTCCCGGGTACCACTTTCTGAAAGGGAGAGTTTGCCCAGGTAAAACACCCCATCGCTCCGGATGGCGTCAGATTACACTCCTGATAGGAACTGAGGGCTCCCGCCGTGGACTCTGGACGTCCATCTTTGTGAACCTCAAGGCTCCTCTACCCGCCTCTTAAATGCCATCGAACCCCTGCTGTGGGCTCTGGTCTGTTATCTTGATTTGCGCTCGCCTCACAGGACTTTCTGGTTTCCCTTTTGATTTCTGCTTTGACCCAGGGGCTATTAAGAAGTTAATTTCCACATTGGTAAGTTTCCCAGTTTTTCGCTTTCATGGGTTTCTGACTTCATTCCATTGTGGTTGGCGAACCACTTGGTACGATTTCTGTCTTTCTGTTGCAGGACCCGGCATGGACTCCATGTGCCCCTGGGAGGAGTGGGTGCTCCGATGCGGGGGATGGGCATGCCCCAGAGTCTGTGAGGTCAGTCGCTGAGAGTGGCCTTTAAATCTTCTTTCCTTGTTGACCTTCTGTCTAGCTGTTCTAGCCAGTATTCAAAATGGGTATTTGAAGTCTACAACTATTATTGTCAAATTGTTAATTTCTCCCTTCATTTCTGTCAGTTTTTGCACATTCTGATTCTTTTGGACGTTAATCTTGCAAAGCGATTTAATGTTTGTCCTCTAACGTCCCCTGGAATATGATAATGGAAGAGGAGTGTATGTTCAGATTTAGGGCGTTTTACCGTTGCCATTTTATTAATGAATGTTATGGACTGTGTCTCCTCCGCCCAGATTCATATGCTGAATCCTAACCCCCAATGTGATGGTGTTGGGAGGTGGGGCTTTTGGGAGGTGATGAGGTCATGAGGTGGAGCCCTCATGAATGGGATGAGGGTCCTTATAAAAGAGACCCCAAGAGCTCCCTCATCCCATCCCCCAAGTGAGGACACAGAGGGAAGACACTAGCTATGAACCAGGAAGTGAGTTCTCACCTGACACCAAATCTGCCAGGCCTTGATCTGGAACTTCCAGCCTCCTGACTGGGAAATAAATTTCTGTTGTTTATAAGCCACCCAGTCTGTGACATTCTGTCAAAGCAGCCTGAACTAAGACAATAAAGCTTCTTTTTCTGAAAGAAATTGATCATTAAAATTATTATACACATAGAAAGTATATTAAACATATATCAACATTTTAAAGAATAATACAAAGCAAACACCCCTGGGAAGACCATGCAGGTTGAGAAACAATGCTGCCAGTAACTTTGAATCTTCCCTCCAAGGTCTTCTCCCATCAGTAACTACTATCCCCCCTTTTTGTGTGAAAATTTTCTGTATATTTCTTTATAGTTTTATTCACTGGAATTTTCTTGGTGTTTTATTATTGGAGAATCTAAATGGGATCACTTAATCACATTGCATGAGTTCTAGTGAATTGTACCGGACAGTGTGTCAGGCGTGATTTGGGACAGTAAAAGGAAGGAGTGAATTTCTAGCCTTGGGTGTACAGCGGCCTTGGTGTTAATTTAATGAATATTCTCTTGGGACCCACTGCAGCGTCTCCGGAGGCAACAGTTACATGGCTCACCAGCAGCCCCAGGATGATCTCAAAGGAGAGGGGGTGTATCCTCTGGGGACGTCAAGGAACAGACCCATCAAATGTAAGCCTGCTGCCCTGCAACTCAGCCACGATGCCTTAGGGTGTCTTTCCTGCAGAAAGAACTCATTCCTGTGTGTGAGAATGTGATTGCAGCAGAATTTGTAACATCAACAAAATGGTGTTAACCTAAGTGCCAAACAACAGGGGAATGGTGAGATAATAAATGACGGCCCAGGAGGGACATAGCCCTGTAGAAACCTTGATTTTAGCCCAGTGAGACTTCTGACCTGCAGAGCTGTAAGATAGTAAATTTGTGTTGTTTAAGCCACTAAGATTGTGGTGATGCGTTACAGCAATGATAGGAAACTAAGACAGATAGATAGATATGTTCTTAGCCAATTTAGAAAATTCGAAATATACCCAGCAGATGGAGGCAGCACACCTTAATTACCAACAAAGCTGATGTTGGAGAACTAGTTAAATGGGCTTTCCTGCTCCTCACTCCTGGCCTGGACCTTGGAAGAGTTTATTTGGGGCAAAATCTGAGACCTCAGAGTAGAGTCGCTTACTGAGGGCACATACTGGATATTACCAATATTTTAAATCTTTGCTCATCTGACAGGTTTAAAAAAGTGATGATTTGTAAAATCTGTAAAATTTAAAACTTGATAAAATTTGTGTATTTTTGATGAATCAAGGATTTCTTGATATATCAGAGTAGCTTATGTGTTAACTGGAAAACTGCACTAATCACTGGCTTTCAAAGGTTTTTGATCCTGACGACTGTGATCTAATTCTCATATATATATATGAGAATATATATAGTATGTGTGTGTGTGTGTGTGTACATGCAGGATTTTTCAAACTGAGATTAAAACCCATTAGTGGGTTGTGAAATGTACTTACTGGTTTGCGGCTGGTATTAAAAAAAAAAGACAACAGAGTAAAAAAAATAGTGCATCCCACATAGTAATGAAAAACAGTTTTTAAGATTTTGATTTCAGTCGTGTGTATATGAAATATATGTGTGCATATGATATCTATTTACGTATATGTGTACGCGATATATATTTCTCTGTGTATATGTGATATAGATGTATGTGTACATATGTGTGTATATGCTATATATGTGTGTATATATTGATGTACATGTGACAGTTATGTTAACTGTATGTATGCATACATGGTATGCTTTTATACATGTGCATGTATGTGATATACATTTGTATCTATGTGTGTATGATATATACGTGTATATATTGAAATATGTGTGTATGAAGTTCACACATAACTGGGTCACAACGTTAAATGATGCACTCTCTACGGGCATTAAGTAATAAAGCTGATATTTTTCCCCTCAGATCAGTCAAGTTTGGTATCATCGAAAGCGTGGAGCCCGCTTCCCAGAAAAGTGCACAAACAACATCCTAGTCGCACTCCGGCGCGCAGGCGCCCACCGACCCCTGCAGCCGCCCTCGGCGCACTGTGGAGATGGGATTCATCCCCACCACTTGGGACGCGCACGCGCGCCTGCCCCTCCGCGCGCCCCCTCCCCGGGCACCAGCGCCCCCGCGGCACCTGCGGCCCCCCCTCCCCGGGCACCTGCGCCCCACCTATGCGCCCCGGCCCCGCCCCTCATCCCTCCCGCCGCAGAGCCTGGCGCCGCCGCTTCTTCCCACGCTCCGACGCGCCGTCGATGCGGGCGCGCGCACGCGGGCGGGGCGCCGGGAGCAGCGCCGCGGCGTCGGTGTCGGGCGCGCGCACGCCGGCGGGGCGGCGCACGGCAGCGGCGGCAGCGGCGGCCATTTTTCCTCCCGGCGGCTGCTCCGGGTGCAAGTGCGGGGTCAGCGGCCCTGCCGGCTCTCGGGCTCGGCCGGAGCGGCGGGGAGGCGTGGATGAGGGGGGAGGTGGCCGAGGGCTGCCCCCAGTGTCGCCGCCCCTCCCCCCACAGGGCAGTGCGGGCGGGCAGAGCGCCGGCGGGCGCGGGCTCGGGGTCACTTCCTGGCGCGGCCTCGTCCTCGCCGCTCCCCTCCCGCCGGGACCTCCCCCGGTCGCTGTCCCCGCCGGGGACCCTCCCCCGGGGCCCGCCCGCGCTCTCAGTGTCGGGCCCTCCCAGATGGGATAGGCTGTAAAGATGTTTAGTTTTGAAGGGGATTTCAAAACCAGGCCCAAGGTGTCCCTGGGAGGCGCGAGCCGGAAGGTAAGAGCGGCCTGCGTGCGGCAGTGCCGCGGGGCTGGGCGGGGCCAGCCGCGGACTCCGGGCGGGACGGCTGGCTGGGGGCCGGCTCGGGTCCGGGAGGGGTCCATCCCGGCGGAGGGACGCGCGAGGGGGCGGGCTGCGGGGTCACCTGCTCCTACGGCTCAAAGCGGGTCTGGAAGGAAAGCTGATGGGGAAAAAGGACTTTGTGGACCGGAATCGCCAGGAAGCTGCAAGGATGCTGAGGGTGGACGGCCTTTTATACTTAGGTAGTGAAAAACTCGGGGCAAAGGACACAGTGTTTCTTTCAGAAATGAACTTTAGATACTTTATCACACTTGACTGATGGTGATTGCTTTTAGAGTACTACGTGGGGGTCTTGTCTGTTGTAGAAAGTAAGTAGAATGTATTTGTTCATGACAACAGTCTCTGAAGTTGAGGCGGAACTCCTCATCATAGGCCACGTGTTTGAATCCAAGGCCATGAAAGTCGTCCTTTACCAGCCTTTTGGAAACACTTCTGGAGAGACTCTAGCACTTTTTTTCTGTTACAACTGGTCGTATGATTATTCTTAGGATAACAGTGTAGAATAAGGGCGTACAAACTAGTTACTGTGCTATCCTCTCTGATGACAGGCATATACTGATTCGGTGGAATTGCTGACAAGTAGTTCAGCGTCGGTGTTGCTTCATTTGTTTGCTTGCTTTTTACCACTTCTCCACTGGATCCCTTCCCTGCCTGTTTTAGTTTTATCAGACTAAAAATAAAGTGTGGTCGCCCTTGCTTAGAGTGTTGGAAAAGTTCAAGTGAGTATAATTAGCAGATTGTTTACTAAATAATTTTCTAAAGTGTTCTTTCAGTGGTTCGTCTATTCTTCTGTATTAGTGTATTCTGTATGTTACACTTAACGACGGGGTTGGCACATGACTGAGCAGATGCTCAAGTCCACGTACGAATATCCCCTTTAAATTGTACTGTGGGGGTATGTGCATGATGGTTTCTGAGGGTAGAGGAGGGGAACCCAGCAGGGATTTGGGCAGGAAGTGTGCTGATAACTTACAGGCTTTGGGTTTTGCATGATGGTGATTGGTTGGAGGCTGCAGAACTAGGTGCTAGACTAGGTGCTGTGTAGGTGTTGTGCAGGGCTGGCGTGGGTCACATTCAGTGGCTTGGGTATTCATGAAAATTCCAAATGAGATCAAAGGACTTATGACATTGGAAGAACCTCTGGGCCAGATCTAGTTTACAGGTGGGATAAAGAGCTGTTGAGTGATAGCACAGCCACATAGCAAGCTGGGGGCAGGTCACCACCTTAGAATCCATGTCACCTCACTTACGTAGGACTTTGTGACTTCTGTTACAGACAGGAGTGCCCTGCCAGGTCCTGCTAGGGCGTTGATCCTGTTTTCTCACCAAGTAACACATCTCTTCTTTAAGGAAAATAGTTATCTGTTGATCAGAATCTCAAGGGGAGATTGCACGTCTTGCTTTTCAGCTGTGCGAAACAATTTTTTCCCCCTTTTTACCCCCCTTTTCGTTGAGGTTTAGACTTAACATACAGTCAGGGTCACAGACATTAAGTGTCTGTGTCTTAGGCCATGTCCCTTAGAAGCCTGAGGAGGAAATCCTTGTGCAGGTGAAATTGAGGAGGGAAGAGGAGAGGGCAGGGGACCAGGGGTTTTCTTGGTTGGAATTTATCTTTAGCTGGATCCCACCGACAACTCTGGAGCGTGGCTGGCATCACGGAGTTGTCCCGTCTTGAGGTGAGGGGGCTGGCATTTTGTATCCCCGTATCATTTAGTCGTTGTCTGCAGGCTCCCCCTGGGGTGGGTGGGAGTGTAATTCTCCAGAGAGGGTGGCAGTAAGGAGCCCACCACAGTCACTCTGCAGTGGCTGGGGGGTGGGTGCATTGGCCTGGGACCGGAATCTGGGCAGGGAATTGACTGTAGGTTCGGCTGGAAGGATTTTTACAGCCCACCACTCCCATCAAATAACATGCCCAGCATTCCAGAGGCCCCCCGTCTGCACCTTTCCATTCTAAGCCCTCCTACCCAAAGGTAACTACTATTCCGACCTTTATTACCACAGATCAATTCTGCCTGTTGAACTTCTTGTGCGTAGAGGCCACTCTTTTTGGACTGGCCTCTGTGGCTCAGCATTTGGTCTGAGAGGTGGGATCCATCGTCTTATTCTGGTTGCATTGTCTGAACGTACATAGCACAGTTGATCCGTATTTGTTGTATGTGTCTCTGGGTGGACACATGCTCTCACGTGCTGCTCACACGTTGCACGTGGGTTTAGCTCCAGTGCACTCTGCCTCGTTCTGAGCGTTTCAGTGGCTCCACTTCCTTGCCAACACTTAGCGTTGTCAGTCATTTTAATTTGGCAGTTCCGGTGGGTATGTAGTTTCATTGTAGTTTTAATTTTGTTTCCTAACAACTAATGATGTTGCGCACCCACATATGCTTATTTTCCTTAACTCTCTTTGGCTGCAACATAAGTCTTTTGCCTCATTTAAAAAACAAAAACTTAAAATGATCTTTCCCCCATGTCTTAAATTATTGTTTGAAATTTTCCCTTCTTAAGTTTAGTGGAAACTGAATAGTTGCTACTTTTTGGATAAATACATCTTCCCCCCCCCCCCAAAATTAAATGAATATTTAAAATGTTTATTTGTAAAGGTTCTTTGAAGGATCTGAAACATTGTAAGGAAAAGTTCATGCCCTCGTTGTAATCTTGTTGGGGAGATAAGACTTACAACAGTTAAGCATAAAATAACAATAGAGAGAGCAATTACCACATTCTGGGTTTTCCTTGGGCTGATTCAGGAAAGAATAGAGTTGGTTGGGGCTTAGTCTTGAAGGATGCCTGGAATTAGTGAGCTGAGAAGCAGGGGTATTCCAGGTGGGTGGAAGGGTATACATTGAGTAGGTATATACTGGATTGGGTAGGTATATACTAAGTCACATAGGTTTCCACTTTTTAATATTTCTGAAGTCAGGATACATGGTGGCATGATAGTTTATTGGCAGTATTTTTTTCTATTCTTGGTAGTGCATAGAAGAATATCTTAATGGTAATTTGATTACAAGTATAGAAATCCACTGTTATTAGCATCTTGCCTTAATGTGGTTCATTTGTTACATTGATGAACCAATAGCAATACATTAAGATTCATTCTTTGTGTTGTGCTTTAAGTGGGTTTTGACAAATGTATAATGACATGTATCTGCCATTACAGCATCATAGAGAATAGTTTGTTGTCCTAAAAATCCACTGTGCTTTACCTATTCATCTTCTCCCTTATCCCTCACACACCGCCGCCCTCCTGCCCCGAATCTCTGGCCACCACTGATCTTTTTACTGTCTCCATAGTTCTGCCTTTCTAGAATGTCATGTAGTTGGAATCATACGGTGTGTGGCCTCTTCAGATTTGCTTCTTTCACTTAGCAGCATACATTTAAGGTTCCTCCATGCCTTTTCATAGCTTGCTAGCTTGTTTTTTTATCCTATTTTTTATTAACAGACTATTTTTGTAGAGCAGTTTTAGTCTTAACAGAAAAAACTGATGGGAAAGTACAGAGAGTTCCCACTCTATCTTCCTAGCACATTGTTTTCTCTATTATTTCCATCTTGCCATAATGTGGTACGTTTGTTACAATTGATAGACCAATATTGATACCTTATTATTAAGTCAGTTTATATCAGGGTTCAATCCAGGGGTTGTACGTTCTGTGAGTTTTGATCTTTTGAGACTGGCTTCTTTAACTTAGGAATATGCTTTTAAGGTTGTTCCAGGTCCTTCCTGGCCTGATGGCTCTTCCCCCCACCCCACTCTAAGTTGCTGAATACTATTCCATTGTCTGGATGTACCACAGTTTATTTGTCCCTTCACCTGCTGAAGGACATCTTGGTTGCTTCCAAGTTTTAGCAATTATGAATAAAGCTGCCATAAACATCCACATGCAGGTTTTGTGTGTAGACATAGTTTTCAGCTCCTTTTTGTAAATATCAAGGAGCCCGATCATATGGTAAGGTTATGTTTAGTTTTGTAATTAACTGCCAAACTGTCTTCCAAAGTGGCTGCACTGTTTTGCATTCCCACCAGCAATGAGAGTTCCTGTTGCTCCACATCCTCGCCTGCCTTTGGTGTTGTCAGTGTTCAAATTTTGGCCGTTCCAATAGGCATGTAGTGGTATCTCATTGTTTTAAGTTGCATTTCCCTGTTGACATGTGATGTGGAGCATCTTTTCACATGTGCTTATTTACCATCTGCGTATCTTTGTTAAGATGTCTGTTCAGGTCTTTATCCCATTTTTTAACTGGGTTGTTTGTTTCCTTACTGTTGAGTCTTAGCAGTTCCTTATACACATTTTCAATGTATTTGTATATATTTTGCAGATATAAACTCTTTTCAGAGAGGCCTTTTGCATATATCTTCTCCCAGTTTTGAGCTTGTCTTTTCATTCTCTTAACAGTCTTTTGCAGAGCAGAAGTTTTTAATTCTAATGAAGTCCAGTTTTATCAGTTTTTTTCTTTCATGAATTGTGCTTCTTATGTCGTATCTAAAGAGTCATTGCCAAACACAGTGTCACCTGGTTTTTCTCCTGTGTTAACTTCTAGTAGTATTATAGTTTTGTATTTTACATTTAGGTCTGTGATCCATTTTGGGTTAATTTTTGTGAAAGGTGTTAAGGTCTGTGTCTAGATTTATTTTTTCTTTCTGTTTTGGCCTGTGGATATCCAGTTGTTCCAACATATTTGTTGAAAAGCTGTCCTTTCTTCATTGAATTGCCTTTGCTCCTTTGTCAGAAGATCAGTTGGCTGTATTTTTGTATGTCTGTTTCTTGCTATTCTGGTCCGTTCATTTATTTGTCTGTTCTGGATTGTTTTGTTTTGCTTTGTTTTTGCCAGTGCCATACTGTCTTGATTTCCGGAGCTTTATGGTAAGTCTCAAAGTCAGCTAGTGTCAGTCTTCCGACTTTGTTCACGTTTTTCTTCAG